CTTGCCACAAAGTCATCCTGACTTTGTACGATGGCGCTCCATGGCACAACTGCCTTGACAATCCCAGAACAGATACCTGTATAAATGCATTCAACAAATGTTCGGGTGTTGCGACGACGGACTCACGATAGTGCGATGTGAGAAATGCTCTGACGATGGCTTTCTTCTCCTCGAGTTTCGTCTCGGTGATGTCAGGAAGCACCGGCATCCCATCCCCATCAATTTCGAGTTCGAAAGCAGGCTTCCTGATTCTCTTTCGACCTCCATTCACCTGTCGCCCACCATCTCGTGCCCCAGCACCTATCATGACAAAGATCAACCAATTGCATTCCAGAGCCAGAGATCAAACACTCACCGAATTGTTTCCTGCCGCGTACTCCTGGCCAACTTGCTCGATGGTCCTCCCAGTCCTTCGTCTTCATGAAACTTATCCCCATCTCCTAATGCCCTCGTTATCATGTGCCTGCATGAAATGATATATTGAGATCGAAGATCTGTCGATGAAACAAAATTTGACTTATACATCCCGAACAGCACGCTCCCCTGTTCATCTTCCATGCCCTGACACTCACAACACTCTCATCCCGCATTGCCTCCAACATTCTCCTATCGAAAAGTGCTGCTCCATATACGCCGGGTCCCTTCTTACAAGCCACTTGTGCTTGTATCTCGGGAGGAGGAGGGAAGTTGCTGGACCATTCTTACGGCCGTGTCTTTGCCTTCTCCAACTCATCATCGGACAATTCAGCCATGACTCTTTTTACAGCCGCCTGAATAATGCTTGAACATACCGGGACCTCCTGGCTTTGCCCCGGACCTCGTCCTCAATCATCTTCAGCACCATCCTCCCGTTTCTGCTGGTAGATCACCTGCCTAGGAGTCCATTTCCTCCCATACTTTATCATGTCCGTCCTCTCCTTCTTTTTCTGGTTGTTGAACAACCATGTCTTGTACCTCTGAGAGTTCATGGAAGAATAAGATGTTAAAATTTTAGTTTTGAATGAAGCAAGGATGAATCACCTGCTTCCTCTTCTTCCATTGTGCTTGGTCGACCTTGGGAGCAAATAGCCTGGCAGCCCTAGCTATGGCAGTGAAAACTGCCCTCTTCTCAATCCTTTTCGCCGAAGTCCACTCAGGAAGGTAGTTCTTCAACTCCGAAATTTTCGTTATCCGTGAGCTTCTGTGTCTGTGGTTGACGCGCCCTATGTCTTCCAGAAGTGGAAGTCAACTGAGTGGAATGACCTGATCTTGCCATTGTGAATGAGATTGCAGAAAGGGCTGAGGATGAGCAAGGTGGCAAGTAATAACGGTGACAAGTTCAACTTTGAGCAAAGCCTAACAGTTGGTTAATCGACCCATATTGGACGCAATTCCATATTGGAAATGAATTTGTAATGACGCATCAAGACCGCATAAGATCACATTGCAATAACAATTTATTCGCATTCCTGAGCTCGTGCTTTGCTTGCAGCCTTAGAAAATAACATGAAGATAGGTAGATGCACCCCACTGCAAAGATCCCACAGGGTAGAAGCAAGGGGAAGCAGAGGTAGGAAAATTTGGGTCAAGGTCCCACTTGCAAGCACAAAAAGACGTGTATACAGGTCCATGCCTAGCTCTCCCCCAGAATCACCAACTACTTCGGCCTGTTGAGGCACCACCCTCTTTGGGAAGACATTCCTGACAATACTTACGAGCAAGACCAAGGCTCATTTGAGCCTTTGCAACTCCCAAAAACCATGGCAAGTTCATGTAAAATGTTGCATTGCAATTCAAATGATAGCTAAGTATAACAAATCCAGAGTCAGAATGACTACCTCAGGCAATGGCTGCCAAGGCAGAAATCATATCTGCATCACCTCCTGGATCGAGAAGCTCCACCAGAAGATAGGAGATGCGTCGTCTGCGACCAGGATGGGGTCTACAAATGTCAAGATTGTCTTGGGGAGCCACTCTATTGCACTGGCTGTTGCAGAAGTCAACATCTTTGCAATCCCTTCCATTGGATCAGTCAATGGAATGGTCAATTCTTTGAGCAAAGTTGTCTCGCTCACGTCGGACTCGTCATACACCTCGGTCATGAGGGCAAACAATGTCCAGTACTTACGGATAGGTGGGACTTGTTCGAAGAAGACGAACCTGGAAGACCAGCTTGAGCCTGAAGATCTACCATCTGTGTCGGGACCCGAGTTCCAGCCGAAGGAAAACACCATGGTCATCATTGACAAGTCCGGAGTTCATCGCCTCCGGGTTCGATGCTGCAATTGTCCAAATGCCATGAGTCCAGACCTTCAAATGTTTCAGACATGGATTTTTCCCCGCTTCATTTAACAAGCCGAAGACTTTATTCACCTTCAGGGTTCTCGATGATTTTCTATTGGACAACCTTGAATGTGGGACCTTCGGCGATGAACTATTACAGCAAGCTCCGGTGAATGACCCTCGAGGATGTTTCCACACCTTGTACCGGTAATGCCATATCTCTCTCATCTAAAGGACATTATATTGACAAGGCATGGGGCAAGGACTGATACCGAGAGCTCATGAGAGTCGCCCGACAGTGGAGGCAGTTGAAGACGATGAAATGGCATGGCTTCGGCCATTGTTCCGACAGCCCGAATGCAGGAGATCTCGCATTATTTTGCCCGGCATGTCCTCAGCCTGGGATTAATGTGTCCTTCTCAGGGGATGAATCACTTGATGAGTGAGTCTTCCTCGATACCGAAGTCACCTCAGCGATAATAACAACTCCAAGGTGGAAATACACCCGGTCATTTGTTATGGACGGAAATTTCAAAGCTGAACACCTGCATCCCATGAAGCCATTTGATGAAGTTTGGCTGTCAGATGGGTTGGGATTCATGGTGGGAAAGGACAGGTATAACACGCATCTTGCAGAGGCTGCCGACACTTTAGAAAAATCAAGCTGCAACAATCACCGGGCAGTAAATCAAGCAAATGCGGCTCGGCACAAGCTGGAATCCACGGGCATCGGGGGAGTAGCCTGTGCGAGACACAGGTTGCTTTGTTCCTCACTCGATGGTAGATTTCCAGAAAGGCGAATGGCAAGCTGACCCAGCCATTCGATATTCACGAGTTAACCATGCATCATTCGCAGACAAATGAACATGGACTATGCCCTTTGTGAGGCTGCCCGGCACAACATGGAAGGCATCACCAGGGCGGTCACCTTCTATGATATCAACTGTCAATACAACAAGCACTTTCGGGTTCGGGTGGATCGAAGCCGATTTCTCGAAATGATTCCGGAATTGACCATCATTCCCGGAATCGGGTTGTGGCACATCCACGGACATCAGGACAGCTGCTATGTCCGATATGCGTCGAATTTTATTGAAGGCATCGGTCGGATTGATGGAGAGATCATGGAGACCCTATGGTCACGTCTCAACCTGATTTCCCCTGCTGCTCGGGGAATGTCATCCCCGCATCGAAAGGAATGTCTCGATTATCAGATGAATGATTCCAATTTCTGCAAGATGATCCGCATGAAAAGGACCCTTTGCCAAAAATACAAGCAGGCGAAGAATGGCATTGCCGAAAGTGAAAAGGCTTTCGACATACTCAATGAAGCAGCACCCGGCGATTCAAAGACAGAGTGGCTAGCCAGCGAGAGGATCGCTCAGTCCAGCAGAATAAATAATCCTGCGGCTATGGATGTATATGAGATTAATATCAAGAAGGGTTAGTTGACTTTGTCTCCATCAAAGTCTGAATTAATTTTGCATTCAGCACCGAGCAAAAGGAGATCGAGCTTAGGCTACTAGAGGAGGGTAATGCCCGAAATGCAGCACCTGCTCGCAGGTCTGTAGCGACATGGATATCAATGGGTTGGCGATTTGAAGAGGCTCAAATCGCTGTAGAGACTCGCGTTTCTGCAGGCTCATATGGGCTCATATTACGAATTCTGATGACTGGCCTTTACTGCACAACTTGCACCATCATCCACTATGACTTCCACCATCATGCGCACCACTTCCCGCAAAATGCGCCATAGGCGCGACACTTGCCCGCACAACGCGCAGTATTCCTGCGTGCGCGCCTTGCACGCTTTCTCGCGCTTAAGCGCACTATGTCACACAGCATCCAGGAGCATCCATCCATCATCCAACCAGTCCCTCGGTATGTCCCTTTTCGTTATCTGACCATATTTAGCATATTACACTTCCATTTCATTATGCACCCTTACTTTACATCACCTCACCTCATTTACATACTTAGAGCGCTCCCTATGTCACACAGCATCCAGGAGCATCCATCCATCATCCAACCAGTCCCTCGGTATGTCCCTTTTCGTTATCTGACCATACATATTTAGCATATTACACTTCCCATTTCGTTATGCACCCATACGCGCCCTATCTTTGAAAAAACCAGCCACCATCGAAGCGCCCATTGCAAGCGCACCTCCGCAACCGGAATGCACTCAAGACCAACCAGCAGTCGAAGTCATCGCAACCCATACCTGAAGTATGCAACGCCGCCCCCACCCCAGTAGTCCCAGAAGCGCCCCTTGATATCACCGCCCCGCCATCAGTCCAACTCGAAGCACACATCATAAGCGCTCCTCAAGAACCCATATCCGCACCAGAGTATCCACTAGCCAAGATATTCCGCCCAAGCTCGAAGTATGCGAGCCTATCACCATCCCAATCCTCCCAGAAGCGCCTCTGGAGGAGATTATACCGCTGTCAGTCAGCGATGACTTTAAACATCTATCGCACTTTAGCGCGCCAATTCAGGAGCCTTCTGAAGTATCAGAGGTTCAAAAACGCGCCGCTATCCGACCAGGTTATGTCCCTGGAAACTCCATCTGTCGCTGACACATCCGCACTTGTCGCGTTTTCCGCACACAGTGACCATCATCCGCAGGTGCAATATCCATGCACCATACCGCTGCCAGTCAGTGATGACTTTAAACATCCATTGCATCTCAACGCGCCCCATTCCGGAGTCTTCTGCAGCCAGAGGCTCAAAATGCGCCACCTTCCGACCAGAGTATATCTCTGGTAACCCCATCCATCACTGATCATTCCGCGCTTTTCGTGTTTTCCACCTACAGTGATTTCCGTTTGCCAGTGAAACATCCGTGCATCACATCGCCCATCCGCCAATTAGAGCATGTCTCAGATGACTCTGATGCGCCTCCAGTGCGCCGCCATACGCCTGAGGTCGCGCAGGTCATGCACCTAGAGGCATTGATAGAGCACCCCCACGCGCCTTATATCGCCCCATTAGGGCGCGCCTTCAACTTGTACCGCAAGGTGCAAGAATTCATTCCGCCGGTTACAAGTCCACCATCAAGCCGCGTTTGAAGAAGATTCGATTTATACCCGGTAGGAAAAGATGTCGCAGAGTTAGAAGATAAAGATACCACCGCCCTCAGTCGCCTCAGTCGCCTTTCACCATCGCCTCACGCGCTTTCGACCTGCAGCATCGCGCAACCTCAGATAGACAAAGAAGACCAGGAACGCACTGGTAGGAGAAGAAGTAAAGAGCTCAACGAAGAAGATCCAAACGCGCCAGCTCTCGAACCATCCGCTCCATCATCTGACCCTCGCCATCATCATCCGCACCACCCGCTGTCCCCGCTCCATCGATCCCCAAATACCATATACTGCCAAATATACCGTCATTTTCATAGGATATAGTTGTTTTACCCTGGGTTTCGTCCAGTGATCTCCGCTTTTCATTTCCATTTTCTCTCATTATAACGTCGTTCAAAGGACTAATAACGCGCTGATATCTACGCCTATAGAAAACCGCCTAGAAGAAAACAACAAAACAACAAAAAGACCATAGATTGTGCCCGCCTAACCCAGTAGGATATCATTTCTCTTCGAACACATGAAGTGGCACCATGCACCTTTTTACCTTAGAATGCGCCTCATATGCGTGCACATTTCCCGCACTTCCGCGCTATGGAAGGAATAGAAGTCGACGAAAGACGAAGAAGCCAAGTCGGACTTGGACATCCGCACCGTTGCCATCTCTCTTTCGCGTTTTTTGAATATAGTTTTACTCATGCCATTCAATCCCATAGCACCTAATACTTAGAGCGCCTAGTGGGTTTTGTTTGGACATGGATTGGATCGCTTTCAGACCACCTAACATCGCCTTATACCCCCGCAGACATATCGGACATGGACATCATCGCACTATCATCCCCTTATGCTTCCTTGCAGTTCTGCACATCGCGCAACCATTCCGTCATGTTCCTCACAGTTTCGCACTTCGCGCATTTCACGCGCTGCATTCCGCGCCTAATGCGACACATCCGCGCCATATTCGCACTATCAGTCATCTCAATAGCTGAGCACTCCTCGCATGACCGCC